GTTCCGGGCCCTGGTGGCTTGCGCGGGTAGTTGGGGAGATGTGATCCAGACAGATCCGTGAAGGTCTGGAGAAGTCGGATTGTGAGGAAACGAGACGGTCTTGGCGGGGTTCAGGCAGAAGGCCATACGGGAGATTCGCAGAAGCAAGGGAGTAGGTGGCTGTGTGATCAATGGGAACAGAGCCGGGGTTTGATGGGAGATCATTTGGAGCTGATGGAGTCTGGGACCGAGCAAAGAGTGAGGTTCGGACCTGGTAAAGGAGTGTCGGGGTTCGTAATCGTAATCACAGAGTTCGTGAGGTTGTTAGGGTTGATGAAGACTGGGGCACAATGGTCGGACGGAGTCACCGAGACAGCGTCGGGCGAGACGATATGGAACAAGAGTAGATTCGAGTGGAGATACAAAACGATAACGAGGACGATAACGAAATGGAGACGAGACAAGATCGGGAGACTGAGATAAGACCGGGAGACTGAGATAAGACCGGGAGACTGAGATAAGAAAATGAGACACGAGACACGAAACAATCAGACCATAAGTAACGTTAAGCAATATCAAGACTAGAGTACGAAGAGCTACTCGATGACTTATATACTGACTACCGGAGGACTTCGGGGTACGTCGGCTGTGGCGGCGGGGCTTGGCGGAGCTCGACAGAGGGGGCGGGTGTCAGTTGTGATCGAGGCTTGTGCTGCGCTGATATGTTGATGGGATCATTGGAGAACGCGGGTTGCCCCGAGGTTGTCGTGGTACTCCGGAATAGGTCGGAGGAACCAGGGTGTTGAGTTGATGATGGGTGGCGAAGATCGGGAACAGCAGGGGTGGTTCTCGGGGTTCGGGAGGCCCAGGGTAAGTGTCAGTGGCTGCGGGGCAGGCACCGAAGTTGGCCAGGGGGCCGTCAGAGTTAGCCGGGGAGGCGTCGGAGTTAGCTGAACTAGGCGCGGGGCATGGGCGGAGGTTCAGCGGAGTGTTGGGGGTTTTTTGGGGTTTTGGGGTTGATGGGCGATGTGCGGGGTTTTGGGGAATGGGTCGTGACAGGAGCAGTGTCTAGGGAGCTAGGGAGCGGGTCGTGACAGAAGCATTGACCATATTACAAGTGCCACAGCAGCCTGGAGAGGCACTGTGTGACTATGCAGCATGACAGGCTCCAGTATACTGTGAGAGACAGGCTACAATGGGCACAATTGTAGCTTCTGACCTAGCTTCTACAGAAGCTGGGTTGGTAATTATGATTGAGTAACCTGTGGTGTGTTGGAGAACTGCTGGGTCAACACATTGGGCATTGACCTGGGAAGATAGAACTGCATTGCAGCAATTCCACAATGGTGACCTGGAGGACTTTGGGCAGTCTTACATGGATGACCAAGGTGGTGTTCTGGGAGTATACCACCTCTGATGCATGGCCTGAGGAATATGTGTTCCACCAGAACATACAAGGCCCATAAAAAGGGAAGAGTGAGATTCTCACTCTCTCCTGGGAGACAAGCATGTTGGGACTATGAGTAGCCCTGCTGCATGTCAATGTCCAACTGACCAGGGAGGGAACACACCCCCAAGTTGGTCTGGCAACCAAGCAATGGGTGGAGTAGATCCACAATGGGGATCACCTGAAGGTGATACTATGTCCACTCCACTCTTGACACCTTGTTGTGAACCACCTGGACCAGGTGGAGCTGGTGGGGGACCTCAAAGAGGACTGCCTTTTCCTGGTCAAGGACCATCACTGCCCCAAGGAGGAGGTCCACCAGATCCAAATGGATCAGATAATGGTCTAGCAGATGAAGAGGATGACAAGGGTTGTAGAGCTGGTGTGAGAAGGACTACAGCCCTCCCAGAGAGGCAGCCATAGTGGTTTTCAATGCCACCACAACATTGTAGATGCTTCACCACTCCTGGAGTGGAGGAGGCCCATGAGTATCACTGCCAGACAATGCATAATCATCTATGGGCAGTGATGGAGCAGTTGCTTGCTGTCCAACTGGTGATCCCAGAAGGACTCAAGCCTAGGAGGAGTGATCCATCCAAGACAATCACTCCATATGCTGGATCTGCCAAGTTCAGTGAACTTGAGGATTGGCTAATGATCATCTGCATGTTTTATGTAGTAGCTCAGTATGGGGGAGATGGGTGTGATTGCAAGAAAGTCCTGATCCTTATAGACTTCCTCACTGTGGGTGCACTGAAATACTACCTATAACAGGTGATCCATGTCAATAGGGCCCAGTCCCACTAGAGATTTGAGGACATGATCCTTGGATTGTACAATTAATTTGTACAGCCCTCAACAATGCAGGATGCACACAACATGTTCTGTGACACAGTGTATGCAGTTGAAGAGGTTTACAGTCTCAAAACATGGCCATGTTGTCAGAACCACAGTCCTGGAGGGACTCTTACAGGAGCCAAAACCACCTTGGGGAGGTGATGCCAACAGCAAGTATGTAAATAGGGAAAGAAAGTAAGGAACTAAGAAATGAGAGTGAGTAATGAATGGAGAGAAGATCAGATAAAAACAGAACACAAACAAGATATCAGGTAATGTCAAGGCTGGAGTGTAGCTACAGACTAAGGGACCTTATATAGGTGTAGGATACTGCCAAAAGGAGAAGATGGAAGTGATCTAAGTCAGGTGGGAGTGATCTAACACAAGTGGAAGTGATCTAAGTCAAGTGGAAGTGATCTAAGTCAGGTGGAAGTAATCTAAGTCATGAGGAAGTGATCTGGAATAGGGGAAACAATCCTGGAAGTGATCTTGGGCAGGTGGAAGTGATCTGTGCCTGTGGGAATGATCTGGAACAGGAAAAGTGGTCCTAGAGGTGGCTAAAACCTGTATGTGGCTGAAACAGGACTGTGGCTGAGATCTGGGGGTGTGGCTGAGATCCAGAGAGGGACTGTGTAGAATCTGAGGTTGGATAATGCTGAAGGGAAGGGGGGAATGGAATGGGTCATGACACATGTTCCCTGACAGATTTACCATTTTTGAGCAGTTTTTGGAGGGGATACCTTCTGACATGCTTGTGACATTGATATGCAATGCCAGGCTTGTTCTCAAAGTGAACACAGTTGAGGAGTTTGTCTCAGAGGCAAAGGCCTATGAGAATAGCATCAAAACTGCTGCACACTACTTAGAGTGCAGCATGAAGAGTTGGTCAGGATGGCAGCTGTCATTAGCAGCAGTGCAGTCTCCAAAGTTTGGGACTGCCTTGGCTAAGTGGACAGAGGTGGCCAGACACCCTGTCCATCCACACCTGTCTAAGTTGGCAAAGATGCCTGCTGTATGCATGGCCTCAAGGCCTATGCAACTGCAAGTTGGTCTGGGCCCAGGGCCTTCCCAGCCTGTGAGTGCAGTACAGGCAGCAAGAAGACATCTTGCTGCAGAGAAAAACTTGGTGGCCATAGTATCCAGCCAACCAGGCAAGGATGCTGGGCAATCTGCTAACTGTTACAAGTGCAGAAAGGTTGGGCATTTGGCCTGCAAATGCAGGGAGCTGGCTAAGCCAGCTCCTCAAGTGTTTGTGCAAGCAGCACATACTGCTGCTCCCTCAGATATGGGAGATGCCAACAATGAGCAGGAAGAAGAACCTGCTGAGGCTGACAATGAGAATGCAGCTCAGTCTGAAGAGACTTGGGAGAATGATGTAACAATTTTGAATGAACAAGTCCTCTTTTAACACTAGCACCTATGGCTAATTTTTTTTGTTTGCTGTGCCCTGGAAGTGACTAGCCTGTATTGGAAGAATGTTTGGAAGCTCCATGGTCTGTCTGATGGGTATGTCTCTGACCAAGGCCCTCAGTTTGTGGCAGAGATCATTTGGGAACTGTACTACCTGCTGGGATTGAAGCTGTCATCCTCAGTCAGACAGTCAGACAGAGCATGTTAACCAAGAACTGCCAACAGTATCTCCACCTGTTTTGTAAAGATGGGCAGGATGACTAGTCTGAGCTTCTGACACATGCTGAGTTCCAGTACAACAACCACATTCACTCTTCCACTCAGATCACTCCATTCTTCCTGGTCACTGGTGGACACCCCTGCATGGGATATGAACCTTGGACACATTCCTCAGAGGACAATTTGGTGAACAAATGCAGGAGGAGGCAAAGACAGCATTGGTGAAGGCAAAGGATGACATGGCATGGTTATATAATTGCCAGTGGACACCAGCCCCTGTATACAAGCTTGGGGACCATGTGTACTTGGACAGCTCTGACATAAAGACAACAAGGCCATCACAGAAGCTGTCACATTGTCACCTTGCCCCCTTTCCAGTGGAAAAGAAGATAGGGCCTTTAGCATATCTATGAGAGTGAAAGTGCTGTCTTACATAATATAAATATTACAAGAAAAGGGCAGCATCATGTGATACTGCTGATTAATACATATTTGATTAATAGGAACAACTAAACAACTATAGTAACAAGGAGGTCTTGCAGATGCTCTGTTACACTGACCTACTTTGACAAGTTCATTTGAATCTCTAAGCAAGTCCTCAGTGGTCCTTGGGACTCATAACAAGAAGGAAAATATGACAGACATGAACTATATTCAGGACAGAAAAGTCAAAAAGATGTCTTTGAACAGGATCAATACATGAAAGGGGCATTGAACCCCTGCTGCTGGCTCAGGAAGTTATAGCAGAAGATTCAATGGAAGGTAACTGTAATAACCACTCCACCATCAATGTATTAATATTCTCCTTCCTCAATAGCTTAGATACCTCATCCTGAACCACACATCCATCATGTCTCACAGGACAAAACAAGCATGAGTTCATTGTCAGTGTATCAGACTGTCCCAGTAGCCATTGCTATATATTGGGATGATTGTACACAGATTCATAGAGGTGGATGAATTACCTGTTGCCAATGCCAGCGAGGGTTTCTCTACATAGATGTATGTAGGAGGTAACCAAAGAATGTAACCACCTTTTGCCAACTGAAGGACAAAATCTTCCCACAAAAGGAGCATCTGGGTCGATCTGGGAACAAAAAATGTTGATAGAGTGATGGTGAAGTGGTTATCATGCTTGCTTTCCATTCCATACAAGCTATTTCCTTGTGGCTGAAGCAAGCGGCAGGGGCCCGATTCCCTTTCAGTGTACCGACATGGTGATAAACTCATTTTCTCAATCGTTCTGATATCTACAGATCATGATAGATAGCATACAGTTATTGTATAACACACTGATGTCAAAATGGTGATCATGCTTGTCTGCGGGAGTACGGATGCATTGTAAATCAGCAAGCAGTAGGGGTTAAATTCTCCTTCATTCTTTTTGAATACGGAATCTGAAAATACAGGAGTATATACCTCGTACCAAGGTGCATTGATAATAACCATGGACATCCAATTGTCCAATGTATAGCACCTGCCTCCACATTGACATCCCGAACCTTAAATCCAATTACTGTTGAACACCCTCTTTCTATACTCACCCTCTTTCTATACTCAGTGAATCCGTAAGAACTCACAAGTTTGCCTTCTACTAGAGGGAGTACTTACGACTACACGCAGCAAGCCGCATGGGTTCGATTCTCCTTCAGTTATCCTTCATGTTGGTATGGATCCTTTTTCGATCTCAATGAACAAATCGATCTGTGGGTATATTCATCTATCCCTCAAAGACCCCTTAAGGATGATATCCAAAGTGCCCTTCCGAGTACCGTGATTTTCCCCTTTTCCTCTTCTTTGGACGTTGCGTCATACTTATAGTTACTCATACTTATAGTAGTAACGTGACTGAGCTACCCTAGGTCCGAATACCCCACTTCTCGGGGTTTTTTCTTTGAATCTTACCCCCCCCCCTATGTATGCATATGTCGTATTGCAGTCTGCGGCGCTAAGTCCGATGGGATTGACAATCTGCACGGTCGAATACATCCATCTATCATATACAAATAATTTGCTTATTGTATCTCTGGATTTATGTACTACTATATTCGTACAAAATGGTAAAGATTAAGCAGCCAATTGCAAGCATATGATATCTGCTGAATGCTTTCGTTGTGTATATACGTTCTGCTCTGGATGTGTCAACTGTTAATTGTTAACTCAGTGATTCTTGTTCTTAGATAGAGCGGAATACGCGTTGTGATATGGCTACTCTACTCGTGGGTTTATTGTTTGTGCTTTCTTTACTTTGTAGAAAGAACAGTCATAAGGGTGCTAACGCCAACATCAACATTAATATTCATGATACCCTCGACAGCGGTTTAAAACAAAAGTTAATGATTGTAACCACTTTGCGCTACTTATACACTGAAGGGGAATCGAACCCCTGCCGCTTGCTTCAGACAGATGCAATATCTTCTATGCAATGGAAGGCAAGCAGAACCCCTGCCGCTTGCTTCAGACAGATGCAATAGCTTCTATGCAATGGAAGGCAAGCATGATAACCACTTCACCATCAGTGTCTACTGCCTTATGCGTAAGCTTCTGTATTCACGTAAACGTTATGACAAAAATGCTTTTGAGACAAACGAGGACCTCTCGAGTTCGTACACTCAACAGGTGCACTTACCATGATAAGTTCCGGCGACCTGCTCTATCACCCATCCTATCTATACTTATCGACAACAAAAAGCTTCATATCGTACGAGTATCTCCTTTCTTTCATGTCTGTTCATGTCACTGGAAGCGCTTTGCCTCACTTTGTCTTCTGCCCAGACTGAGCACGCGTGGATACTACTTAGACAGCTGATAGTAAGGCCTCTCGTGATGATCTGACTATGGAAAACCGCGGACTATAACAACGCTATCAATCACAAACAAGCACTCCTCCGTCCATATTTGCCCAGAACCTAGGGATGTACAGGGTGAGCCCTGAGCTACGAGTAGCGTCTTGAGGCCCAGTAATCTTGAGGCTCTGCCAAGTGTGCAAATAGGTAGTCGAGTTGTGTCCTCCAGTGAAGATGCAATTGTGTAATACTTGTGATATGGATCATGATAGATGCCTTTGGGCTGGTCAGTGGTCAGGTGGTTCCGATGAGGCTCGTCAGCCACGGCTTCTGCAGGGATGACCAAAGACAAAAGAAGGAACACAGGAGACAGTTGGACAATGGTCTTTCTGAATAACAACATATGAATCTGAGAGCAGAAACGAGAACTAATCTTGGGGATACGAAAAGGCTGCCTCAAAGAAAAGAGGTTTTATCCTCAATGTTCGCGCGCACTGGCGTAGATTGTCGTGATTGACGCGCTGGCTACGGAAGGTTTGCATCAGTGATCAGAAGCCTCGGAATCGAAGCTCGGGGAGGTGTTGTAATGATGCGCGGGGCAACGGTCTCCGGTCCGTATTTTTCGGAGTCACATCGCATTATGACATCAACGTTCCAACTGACCAAGATCGCACACAGTTCGTACTAGCACTGCTGTATATTTCTGAACAGCGTGCTCCCGTATGGTGTCCCACAGGGAACGGTATGCTCATGTGCCAACAGCACAGCTCCATTAGAGGAACCTCGAGCAATATTGGACTGGCCACGGCGCGTGGGGCATCTTCTACCCACGAGGAGATGCTCTTCTTGTAACTTCTGGGATCACGTTGAATACGTATGCTGGAAGGTATAAGAGCTCTGAAATCCATCACCTTAACAATCCTTCTGTCACTCGAATATCTCAGCATGCGTTTCTCTAGTCTTTTCGTCGTTTCCGCCTTTGCGTTTTCCGCTCTCGCTCTCCCTGCCGGCGATTTCTCGCCCCAGATTATCCTCTTGTCCGACAATGTCGAGGCTGCGACGACCGCTGCCAATGGCTTCACCGGGACAGTTGTTACACTCCAGGTATGTTTCATGTGCTCATTCTATAGGTTTTTCATCAGCTGAGAACAATACAGCCTTTCCAAGATCGAGCACAAGCTCTGATTCAAGCAACAAAAAATGCCAAAAATGTACTAGCTCAATACGTGAGTTTACCCATGCAAATCGGCATCCATCTCGTGCTGAACACCCTTTTGGCCGGAAATGTCAGCCTGTCACTGTCAAGTTCACTCTAACGGAAAGCAGCGCTAATCTCGAAGCTTCGAAGAAGTGGGTCAACAACTTCAGCCAGCTGGTCACCGCCCTCGTTAACAAGAAGAATCTCTTCGAGAAGATTGCTGGAGGAACTATGACCGTCCACAAAGATATCACCGACATCGCTCCCCTTGCCCTCGCAGTGGTGGAAGGTTTATTTGTCCGCACTCCGGTACGGTCGTTCTCCTTTTCCCCACCTTCCATATCTTGATCGAATCACTTTCAGGATGAGCACATAGCGTCCGCTAAAAAGCTCAGAGACCAGGCCATCGCCGATTTCACGCGCCTTAGTGTCGCGTTTCCTTAGCGGCTTGTTTTGACGTCAGCGAGGGTAAAGTTAGAGTGCTCTCATTAGTTGATTCTCAGCGTGTTATATGTTTTTCTTCACCAGTTTTTGTGTTTGTGAATCTTACATTGCATTTACATACACAGGCGTTGCGGCTCAGGATCAACCGGTTCTGTTCTAAGATGGAATTCCAAGTCATCGATGTAGGGAAATCATGGAATGGCACTGATAAGAAGGCTGGCATGAGTGAAAGCGAAGAGAACCGGAGCAGATGAAGCGAAGACACACCTGACAACAAAGGCCCCTCCTCAGTTGGGGCTGCACTTGCAGAGGGAGCCACTGATGAGGGCTCCTCTGCAGCTGCTCATGAAGCTCTCATGACCTCTGCAGGTTGGTGCAAGAGGTGAGTGAAAATACCATCCTCACTAAAGTGCAGCCAACCAGCAGCATCAAGAGGAGAGTGGCCTCTGCTCTCATGAATTTTGAGGAGCATGTGGAAGTGCTCCCAGTTGTTGGTGGTGGAGATATACCACCTGTTGTACCCTGGTAGGGGAGGTGGCACCCTGATGGTTTGGAGTTGATGATGGTGTTCATTGTTGACTCACATGAACAAGTCTGCATGCAGAGTGCTCCCAGACCAATGGTGATCAAGAAAGTTTATACCAAAGGTATATGCATGATTCACCCAGGAGGGAGGCACACAGTTAGCCAGGAGGTGACATATCACCTCTGTTTCACTCAAATTGTTAATTTGCATAGGCAGCACTTGCAGCCTATGTAGAGTGAAGGTGTGGAAAGTAATTGTGTCAAACTCCCCTACACCAGATTGGTAGTTGTCTACCACCTCTTGATAGAGATGTGCCTGAGCAACCACCATGGCAAACAGCCTCATATAGGTCATTTGTACATGCAGCTCAGTTGGGGCCAGTGCACAACCTGTCAGGTTCCACTGACAATGGGGGCTCAGCTATACTGGCAAATCCTTACTAGGTGGATGCAATGTCCTGCACTTATAACCAAGCATCCGGGATGGGCGTGGAGGGGAGGGACTTGCAAGGGGGAGCTAGGGGGGGGGCAGTCCGAGCAAGTCCAGAGAGTGGCCCGGGGACATCTAAGACCAAGTGTATTAGATGTTGGACCTGGATGAGCGTCAGAACAAGTTCGTGGGCACGCAAATAGAATGTGGGGTAAGCGGAGGCTTCGTGATTGATGGGGGTGGAGCCAGAGTTTGATGGGGGGTCACCAAGGCGTGTTGGGTTCCTGGGCCAAGCAGGGAGCGAGGTCCGGAGTTGTCGTAAGAATGTTCAGGTTGTAACATGTGTGCGGGGTTTGTACTGACATTGGGGATGAAAGGAACTTAGGAGGACAAAGGAAATATACACAGTTGAGACAAGACAGAGACAAGGTGAGATGAGACAGAGAAAAGAGATAGATTCAAAACTAAAAATAGAAGCAGTGACAAGACAAAAGACGTGACATAGGAAACCAGTAAATGCAATATCAAGACTAAAGTACCAGGGGTTACTCTATGACTTATATACCTACTACTGGGTGGTTCTGGAGGGCAGAGGATATGGCGGCGGGCTTGACAGAACTGCACAGAGTCGACGGTTGTTGGGTGCAATCTTGGAGCGGGCCACGGTGACATTCTGATGGGATCAGTTGGAAAGCAGATCGTTCTGGGGTCGGGGGAAGCCTCGGGAGTCCAGGGGAATTCAGAGGATGTGTCAACTGCTGTGGAGAAGGCATCGGAGTTGATCAAGGAACTGTCGGGGTTTGCCGAGGGAGTGTCAGAGTTGCCT